CAACAGTGTTGGGCTACGACCTGTATTCCTGAATCTCTGTAACCATCCCTTACTTGCAGTAAATGGCTCGGTGTCACTGCTTTCAGGGGAGCCCTTGCTGAAGACTTGGTATAGACGCAGTGCTTTCTGGTGCAACACGTTGCCTTCAGTCAGAACACATTTTCCGTTCGTGTCTTCCACCCGCAAATTTCATGCCTTTTCCATCTTAACTAAGCACTTATCATGAAATGTGGCCATAACTTTCACAGTTTAAGATGAAATAGCAAAACTAGCACGTTTCTTTTTCCTTCTTCACAATTGGATAGATTTGTTCTTACTGTTCATCTTAGCTACTTCAGCACACAATTTTTTCCTTATTAGGTCAAGAACTTTCACCTTTTCACTTAAAGGAAGCACTTTACAGCCTCACTACTCTAGTACTTTGGGGCCACCATTAAATAAATAAACCAAGGGTGCCTTGAACACAAGTACTGATACCTTGGCAGTTGATCTGATAACTGAGATGGCTACTAAATGCTCGAAGGGCGGTAGCATGGATACACTGGACAAAGGGATGATTCACGGATGGGGCAGGACAGTGAGAGATTTCATCATGCTACTGAGAACAGCATACAACTTAAAACTTATGAATTGTTTATTTCTGGGATTTTCCATCTGGTATTTTTGGATCTTGGTTGACTGCAGGTAACTGAAACCGTGGAAAGGGAAATTTCGGATAAGTGGGAGACTGCTATATCTGTGTCTACATAGTCCTGCGTTGCTTACCAGTGGGGATCTGAGAAATGCATCCTTGGGCAGTTTCATTGTGCAAACATCCCAGAGTGTGCTTACACAGACCCAGATGGCACAGCCTACTACACACCTAGCCTATGGCTCCCAGGCTACAAACCTGGACAGCATGTTACTGTAACTGATACTGTAGGCAACTGTAATACAATAGGCAAAGTATTTGTGTATCTAAATATAGAAAAGATATGGTGAAAACACCATATTATAATCTTACAGGACCACTGTCATATATGTGGTCTGTTGTTGACCAAAACATCATTATATGGTGCACGGCTCTATCTATATTTCATTGGTTCTATTTCTCGGAGAACCCTGACTATACAGGCTGGAAACAGGTGGATGAGGGTTTTCTTTGTTGGTTTTGTTCCCTTACCATACCCCATCTCCAGTATGGGGCCCTGGCAAAGTGCAGCAGTTCATTTAAAAGTTCCTATTTCTATAAATTAAATAAAAACACAATTAAAATTTAATAGGTGCTAAAACTTGGTTTTGAAATTTTATTAAAAAAATATATTTGCAAACATATAAAATTTAGGATGAAAAACGCTCATTTTAAAACATGTAATAACTTAATATTTGCAAACATACACAGATGGTATAAAATCCATACCATTAAAAATGTTAATGATGCAGTATTGCGCTCATGGAACAAAAATTTTGCTGTAATTCCAGAGCTTCTCATTCCCACATTTCAGGGAGCTGAGAATCTGGTACAATGAAAGTCATGAGAGCCACATGGCCAAAGCAGTAATACAGAATAAAAACCATTTAGAACACATATTTTAAAAACACATTTCTTAAGGAATCACACAGATAAAAGGGAAACACAATTTTGCATTTTCCCCACTTCAAAGTGAATGATATTGCATCTTAGCATTTTAAACGAAGATGTCAAATACAAAACTGAGTGAAACATTGCACACATCTCTCCTGCTGAATTTGCTGAAAAACAGGCTCTTTTGAGGCCCCGGCCCACTCAGGGAAATGTTCTCAAGCACAGCGTTAAAAAAGCCTAGTATAAGTTGCTTGACATTGCTTAGATCTCGACATGATACACACTTGAAAACACAGGGCTCTGCTGGTTCCAGAAGGTACACTGAACACAGCTGAAGAAAACCGAAGGCAGGCAAGAAAGATCACGTGCTCTGCAGCAAATGTGCAGCAAGGACGCGGGCCTCGCGCCCTGTGATTCCTCAGTCTCTTCACTCACGCGGGCTGAGCCCACTCGTGCCTGTGCCACCTCTCATTCCTCTCAGTTACAGTATGATGGCTAATTTTGTTTTTTAAGCAGTTAGGCACCTTCAATTTCATGTTGCATTATTAGTAAAACAATGGCAGTTAGGGCCTCTACTACCAAAATGAGAAAATTTCAAACTACATTCTTTGGGGGAGGAGAGTAATAAAGCTGCATGGTTTAAAAATATTTACCTAGTAGTGGATTTGATGGGGTTTATAATTTCTACAAGAAGACATAGGCCAGAAAAAGAAAAAATGCTTGACATGCAAAATCGGGCCAGACATATTCTAAACTAAGCCTGTGCATCTTCCCGTAGAGAAGGACCCAGGTTGACTTGGGTTCTTAACAAAACACCAGTCTTTGATGGCTACACCTAAGCCTTCGAAGGTAAGCTGTGGACATTCCACATACAGACAGCATGAAATGCTTCTCCCAACACTGCCAGTCACTTGAAAACTTAGAATTCAAAGTCAAGTAGGCCAACTCTCACACCTCACAAATCCTAGGAGAGATGTGCAAGGAAGAGGAGCTTCTGCCTTAAAGGAACAAGGCTGTCTGGGAGGTGTGAGAGTCCATTCGAAGACATCACACTAACTACAACAAGAAGAGCAACGCCACCCACCAGTGACACCCCAGACACACCTCTCTTCCAAGCTCTGGGCTGCTCCTCTGAGCTTACACTTGGACCCTGGGGGTAGGGGTAGGCACACAGATGGACAGAGTGGTTTCAATGCAGGCCTCCTGGGGCTCTGCAAAACCTAGCAAGAAGTGTCTCCATCTTGGTGTCCACTGTGATTCAACTAAGCTTCCAGTAAAGACGCTGCAGCAATGTAAACATGCAACCTAAGCTAGCACGAGGTTCTGGGTAGTAAGCCTGAACGAGGAATAAGGCAACTGAACTGTGACTTTTCGGCCAGGGTCATCCAACCGCAACCATCCAGGCTTGGCCTGGCTTCTCTATGGACTCATTTTGGCCCGAACTTCCTGGCAATCATGACTGTGAACTTCTGGCTTCTGAATTTTAAGTAAATGCTTTGAATATATAAATTTGGGAGTTGAAACAGGTTTACTCTTTTCAAGTCTCCACGACTTGGGCACTTAAAAGTTTACTCTCACACTAGGGAAGCCTTATCATAGATCCTCTTTACTATCATATTCATTCCTAGCATTAAAGGGTGAACATTACCAGATTGGATTACAGACCCTCTTTAGGATATTCTCTCTTAAACCTCTCATAATATTACACATACTCAAAAGCATCATTTAAATTCAAATTTCCATTATAATAGAAATCCCTTAATTCGTCATTTACCAAAGCCCACTGAGACTACACCTGGGATGTGATCAAATCTAGTGGCACATCCATTTTATGAGAACAGTCACGTGGCTCCCTGGACACCACCTCCTAGTGTCAGTGACACTGTGTTTCTTACTCTAACTTTCTATTTCCCATATGATGAACAAGCAATTCATTTTTGGTTGCTGAATTTACACACTGTCTTTGAAAACAAACTATTCCTAACTGAGCATGAAAACTTAAAAGCTTCCCTGAATTCTGCACAATTCACACATAACTAGGTAGATAGCAATAGAAGACACTTAATGGAGAAGCAGAAATGTTGTCCAGGAAGCATGTTTAGATTAACAAAAGCCAATCAAAGTATTCTTTATGCTAAAAAACTAAGACCAGCTAAAACAAGTATATAATTCACAAATAAATTTCTAAAATTTCAGCTAGAAAAAAAAAATCTATAGACTTATGATTGAGTTACCATTAAAGCTTAAATGATTGTTCCCGAGGAACCATCACATCTGTCAGCATTATTCACAGCTAATCCTTATGCTAGCTGGTTGAGCCAATTGGGTTTTTACCCCATCATTAAATAGTGCTCAGAAAAGTAAGCAGTGCATCTTAATTGGTTAAATACTACAAAATGACCTGTATTATAGAAACAAAGACACTTTCATTCAAAGAATATCTTAAAATTACTATTGCTGAAATAAATCAAATCTACATTAAAATATTACTAAACACCATTACATGCCATAAAAGAATAAATACAAATCATGGCAGATCAATAGCAGCATAACAAAGCATCTTTACATATTTTCACACTTTGGGCTGGGAAAATACTCACAGCCTAGGAATATATTGGTAAAGTTCTGAATCTCATACTTTCTTTTCAACTCCATATTCTACAACAAAGTAAGGGCAGTGTGAATAACAGCTCCCTTTTCTGCATAGCTTTAAAACTATTCTCGGTACACTCAAGGAATGGAACCAGGATGGCTTAGACAGATGGTTCACTGGTCCTTTTGTGTAAGTGTTAAGGAAAACAATCGACAATGATTTCTAACCGTGTTTAGACAGAAAAGGAAAATACAGCTGTGCTTCACGCACAAACATTTTCAGAATCACTGGAGAGTTTAACTGATCATGATGATTTGATAGGATTTGGGTGTTGCCAGCCCCCACCTTTGCTTCAAAGGTGTGCCATGCCTGCTCCCCCACCACTGGAGTCTGCCAGCACCCTGCTCAAATGTTAATGCTGCATTGGGAGCCCCTGCAAGGCAGAACTGGGAACACCTAAAAACAAAATGCTATTAAGAAATTTCACAACTTTAAAGGCCCAAATGGGGCATTCATAAGAAATATACTTCACTTGAACAAATAATTCCTAATTTACTTAAACTCTGATCCTTAAAAGTCTGATCTTCAAAAGCTACTTTGCAGAGCTGACTTCTACTCTGTTCAGAACTTAGCTATCAGCCCAATGCCCAAGCTTCCAGGGGCAGGGCTGGGGGAAGGGGCGTGGGCTGGGCTGAACTGTGGCTGCAGTAAAGCTGGTGACTACTCCTCCCTAAGTCCTTGACAGTGAAAGCAAGCTGAAAGACTCCTTATTTCACACACTTGCTTACAGCTGATGAAAACACCCACATAACTCAACACAATGATCTTTTTTTTCTTTTTTTTTGTCAAAACAAAGGTCTGCTGGTGATGCTTCACAGTGAAACCTCCATTATCACTGAGAATGCTACTTGGAAAACATTCTTATGGAATGAGTCTCTTTCTCATAGGCTTGATTTCAGGATTTTCAAAACTCAATGTTCTGTTTAGAAGTTGCCATGATGAAGCCTATTTGTTTTTGAGGTTGACATATGCCTTCAGATTTATTCTGCTCCCGTCATAGGTTGTGGTTGTCTTTGTTCTTGGTTAGAACCTGCAAGTAGACTTCATGAAGTGTACTGAGGAAGCTGGAATCATTCTAGAAGAGATGATAAAGGTTAAGAACACAACATGTTACATTTACCTCATCAGAACTTACTTCCTTGATAATAGCTTACAAAAATTATAAGTAATTTGTATGGCTACTGACCAATTACCCAAATAATCCCACCACCTAGAGACAATAATTAATACATTGGCATTCATTCAGATAGTTCTCCATCAGGAAGGAGTACATGCTCAAGAAGAGAGAAACATTACTCCCAGCTAGTCTTTGAATTTACTTTGTGAACTGATTTAGTAGGAAGAACTTACACAATTTGTTTTCTTTTATTAAAGACTGAAAAATCAAAGACTAAACTAATGTCCTACATACCTTTATTAGATGTATTAATGTATCCTGGAGCTGAGCCTTGCTGAGAACAATGGAAGGCTTTCTCTGATTTTCTGGTGTTCCGATGGTTAGAGGAGAAGGGGAGCTTGCTTTCCTGTCAAGATCTGAGGGCCTTGCAAACGTCTGCTGGAAAACACTTGGAGACAGCAGGACTGAAGACACTGCGGTGGTCGCTGCAGGAACCAGTGAGGGGCCTGCAACCTGACAGGGGAACAATGGTCATCCTGCACCCAGGTGCAGAAGCCAGCACCCGGCCCAGAGCAGGCAACCTCTGATAAGAGGCATAAACGGTGTGAAGCTGGAGCACAGAGACAAATGTGAACCATTCTGGGTTCAGGCGAACACTCAGTAGAAGCATTGGAACATTTTATACCTGGTCATGACGTTTCTGTTTGCTAAAGCATGAAGAGCCCACTTAAGAATGCCCTAGAATTACTATGGGAAGCCAAGTCCAACCACCACAGAAGGTGAATATGATATGATAAATAACAGCATAGAATACACAGTAAGAATGATCCCACATTGCTTTGTTCCTTCTCCACTTCCACTGCTTTACCTATCTAGCCTTAAAAAAAAAAATTAAAAAAAGAAAAAAAAATAACAATCTTATGATAAATTAAAAAGGCAAAGTTTTTTTTTGTGGGGGTTGGGGGAGGAGGGGAAATGAAGAGGACATGAGGGAACTTTCTGGGATGATGGAAATGTTACATATTGATTGAGTTGGTGGCTACCCAAGGGATATTACATATACGTGTCAAGACTCATTAAAATTATATTGTAATAAAAAAGAATTTAAAAATCCAGTTATGTTCAATCTATTCATTAGCTTTGATACCATTATAGGTATCAAAGACAAAATTTCTTTTTTTCTTTTTTTTTTTTTTTGAGATAGAGTCTCACTCTGTTGCCTGGGCTAGAGTGCTGTGACATCAGCCTAGCTCACAGCAACCTCAAACTCCTGGGCTCAAGCAATCCTTCTGCCTCAGCCTCCCAAGTAGCTGGGACTACAGGCATGCGCCACGATGCCCAGCTAATTTTTTCTATATATTTTTAGTTGTCCAGCTAATTTTCTTTCCATTTTTAGTAGAGATGGGGTCTTGCTCTTGCTCAGGCTGGTCTTGAATTCCTGAGCTCAAACGATCCACCCGCCTCAGTCTCCCAGAGTGCTAGGATTACAGGTGTGAGCCACTGCACCAGGCCCCGACAAAATTTCTTAAAAATAAGGCTAATATAGACCACCCTCTCCCATTCAGATGTGCTTCTAGGCTAATTATAGCTAACATTATGAATATACTAAACTATAATAGTAATAATCAGCATTTAAAATAATTCTCACATTTGCTATAATCAGTAGGAATCTACATTTCTCTTTCTCCTATATGTCACCTTCTCATTCACAAATAGCAAAGAGCTTGCCACAATTTTAAGGGTGTAGTTCTGGTATCTGGGCCATTTAGCTCATTTTTTTTGGTGCCAAACCAGGCTGAGAGCTCCTGCTGATCACCACAAGCAGGACAAACTACAGAAAAGACTGTTTAACACGGCCAGTCAGAAGGGGGCTTTAGGCTGGGTATGGTAGCTCATGCCTGTAATCCTAGCACTCTGGGAGCCTGAGGCAGGAGGATAGCTTGAGGTCAGGAGTTCAAGACCAGCCTGAGCAAGAGGAGACCTTGTCTCTATAAAAAATAGAAAAATTAGCTGGGTGTGGTGGTGTATGCCTGTAGTCCCAGCTACTTCGGAGGCCGAGGCAGGAGGATCACTTGAGCCCAGGAGTTTGAGGTTGCTGTGAGCTATGATGATGCTATTGCACTCTAGCCGGGGTGACAGAGCGAGACTCTGTCTCAAAAAGAAGCTAGCTTTAATTTAAATTCTGAGATTGGAAAATTTAAATAAAGGCTCAATGGCAAACAGGAATGTGACATTTAAGGAACTGAAAAAAGAGTGTGTATTTCAAGGTTGGTGGGTGATGGAGAGTGGGGACAACATGTAAAAAATGAGGCAAGAGAGGACAAACAAGGGACAGAATATGCAGGCCTGGGAGGTTTTGGTGTCAGAGGAGTGGGAAATGAGAGGATCGTAGCAGAATAGTGGCTCTGCTCCCTGGGACACCACAGATAGTCCAGCGCTTATAGAAATCAGGCTTGTCTGTGGCCAAACCACCCTGAAAGCGCCCGATATTGTCTGATCTTGGAAGGTAAGCAGGGTTGGGCCTTGTTGGTACTTAGATGGGAGAAATCAGGCTGATACACTCTCGGCAGTCACTCACTCACAAACACTGAGTGAGGGCCCAGCCTGTGACCCTGCCCTCTATACACACAGTGAGGGAAGACGCCATACAGAGACGACACGAGACCTCCAGAGGGAGAGCAATTAACTCTGTCTGACAGGGCAGGACAGCCCAGCCTAGGAGGGGCATCTAAGATGGGCCTCAGCTTGAAAGCTAAAACTTTTCACTAAGGTGACAACATTTTACTCCACACCCAACAGAAGAACTTAAAAATACATAATGTGTTCTTCAGAAAAAGGGAGTCCTTACCGGGATGGCAGTGGATAACACCTTAGGCTGGACAAATACTTCAGGATCCTGGTTTTGCTGCATAGACTGAAATGTTTAAAAAGAAAAGATGAACAGATGTATCAAGTTTCTACTAAGAAGATTTTCTGGTTACTGGTGAAAAATCTAGGTTAGCAGTAGGTAATGGTCCTGACAGGAACTTGTGACAATGCAACCAATGACCAGCTGCACGATGAGGGCTCCTGGACTGCCTCTTCTCTATAGCTCTCCTGGGAAAAGGGGGCCTGTAAGGCTTTTAATGCGTCTTTAAAAAAAAAAAGCTGAAATCTGTATCTCTTATAAGAGCCAGGGACAGGCCCAGGCATATTTTTGCTGCTGAGTCTGTAGAGATGAGAGATCTAGGAAGTAGATACTTCTGGATAAGGTGATTTAAACTTGGCACTAAATAGCCTTCCTACAGAGGCGCCTTCTACATGCTCAATGCTGTCCTTACTCATTGGTGAGAAAGAATTTCTTGTTGTAGAGCAAATACATTAGGACTTAAGAAAGTCCCAGGTCCTAAAACTGGCCACTGTCAGGTAAATGAAAATTTTCATGTATGTAAGCATCCCCTGCCAGGAGGCAGGTTAGACTGGATGCTGTCCCAGAGGCCAGAATCTGGAGAGGGCAGCATTCAAGATTGCTGGTTACACTTCCAGAGCAACGGAGACAGTGGCAGCAGGCCCATTTCGGGGGTGTGATACTTCTCTGTTGAACAGAATATTCTCTCCCCTTTTTATACTGCAGAGAACCTCAGTGGAAATGACCCAAGAATGACAGCATAATGATGTGACCAAGATACTAAGCTTCCTCTCTTTTGGTATAAGATTTCAAAGGAATGGAATAAAATATCCCATTAATTATAATGGGATAATTCATAATAATTATGATGGGCTCTTCCATATAATATTATTTGGTAAAATGTTAAGATTGAGGATTATTATTATTATTATTGTTAAAGGGCATGAGACTGAAATCCTGAACGGCAACCAATACTGTTTTAGAGCAGCAGGTCTACCTCCTTTCAGTTCTGTGACTTTACACTAGTCACTAGAACCCTGAATTGATTTTCTCTTTCGTAAACTCAACAACCTTATGAGTTACTGGGAGGCACAAACTCTTCTTTACCCTCTATACCAAATCTACCACTAAGTCCCACTGATGAGATATCTCCACCTGTCCACATTCCCAAATTCAAGGCCCTACCAGTTCAAACTTGGGTGACTGATCCTACTCCTGTCTTTTCCTTCTCAGCACATCACTCTTTGCCCAAAGCCCTTCGAAGACTTCCAGGGCTCTGAGAACAAAACACAAACTCCTTAACACAATTTACAAAGTCTTCTTCGTCTTCCAATACTGGCTCCTCCAACTTTCTTCACAGTTTCTTAATCCAGCCACACTACACTTCTTTAAGTTCACCAAATGCCTGTTCATATATCCAGGCCACTGCACATGCTATTCTCCTTGCCTCAAACACTTTTTCCACTTCTAGGAAAGGTCTGGTTAACTTCCACTGAGTTGCTGGATCTCAGCTGAAACGTCAGTTTCATTAGGAAGCTTTATTTGACTTCACACCTCCAAATCTGGGATGTTCTAATAGCACCATGGAGTACCTGGCACAAGGCAGGCACTCAAGGAGAGTACTGAGGGAGCTGGGAAAGGAACTAAGCTTGGAATAATTTGGATCTATGGTCCTGAATGAAATGAGGACTCCTGGAATTGTCAGGCAAAAACAAAAAAAACCCTAAAATGGCTGCATATCCAGATAAGAAAACACAAATACAATTTCTTCGATTTTATCATTTAAAATAATTTTGGGAAGTGGAATTGAGCTACACCACCATTAACCAATTATTTAGTAGTTTGCTATAGGGATTCTTGCCTCCTCTGGCCCCTAGCCCCTGACAAACTTTAAAGAGATAACCCTTTAAAATTATCTGTCTCATGTCAGTTAAGACCAAGGTCTTTGGTCTTTGTAGTTTCATCCCATCCAATGATAGTTACCCACACCACCCACTCCCACCCTCCCGCCACTACCTGAAAGGGAGCAAGCACCATGTTGCTCAGGGAGGCTGAAGCCGCTGCTCTTGCTGCTGCTGTCTTAGAGGGAGGCTCTATGAAACTCTCAGGTGTGGCCAGCTGGCCAGATGCTGAAGAAAAGCTGGGTACCATTGCACCTTTCCCAAGTGGCTGTGTCTGTATTTGGTCATGCTGTGGGGTCAACCTGAGTTTCTGGAGAAGATCAACGCTTGGGAGGGATGTGCCAGCTGTATTCGTCATGCTCCGTGGGGCTCTGAAGGGGCTCTGGTTGGCAATCAGACTGGCGTGGCTTAGATCAGGGACTGGCTGGTTCAGGAGTGGAGACCTCTGTCTAGGTGTGGTCTTCACTGCTTGCATCATGGTGCTGTTTCGAGGTAAGCTGGGGGGAACCTGTGCAGCAGGAGCTTCAGCTGGCAGAGTGGGACTGAGCACAGGGCTCAAAGGGATTGTGTAGCTTGGGGCATGCTTTTCACTAGTTTGTGTAATGGCGGCTGGAGTGATTAGCACCGGGGTGGTGACTTCGGCTTGGACTGAGTGGTGGGCAGCAGAAAGGACACCCAGGTTTTCTGACTGAGGGGCTCCACCTGACTGCTCAAAGGGAAATGGCAGGAACGAGCTGGGCTCTTTCTGGGAGGCATCTCCTGGCAGCCTCTCCACTTCTTCTGAATCCAGACCCACAAGTGCTGGCTGTTCCTTTGGCAAAGAGGTTCCAAATAACTCTTCCACAGTCAGATGTTTCTGTCCAGATGGAGCAGACTGAAAAACAAATCAAACCCCTCAGTGAAAGAAATCTCTTCCGTATCAGTGCAACTAAACATTTTTTCCATCGACCAAAGGAGTCTGCAGAAGCAAGGATGGACAGAGTCTGAAAATAAAAAAATGGAAAAACTGAAGATGTGCTAGGGGTTAAGGCCAAGGTACATCTAGTTTCCCCAAGTTTGTGGATGGAAATCTGCACTAGTAATAAAATTCAAATTTTTAGGGACTCCGGGCAATAGTGTTAGAATTCACCTTTTTTTCTTGCCAAATGTATATAAGGTGAAGGGGAAATAACCTTATTATTGTGCCTAATGGCCCCATGTCAGGAACATATAGGGGACTGACATTAGAGAATACAGAGTGACCAAATGCTAATCAAATGATTCCTACCTTTATTTTCACTGTTCTTGATAAAAAGCTAGGCACTACATCTCAGGGACTGGGTCTCAAATACCAGAAAATAAATTTAACCATTTAAGAGCAGGCCATTCCCCCTCCTTATCCACCAATCATAGAATCCTTAAGAAAAAGTGAAGCATGCAAGCCTGAAAATTTTAAATTTACGTATTTTAGTAAATTGGCTTATTGACACCATTGCAACTATTCAAAGGAAAAATATTCATGCTGTCCTGCACCTTCAAGCAGTATTGCCATATTCAACAACCTTTACTTCCTGAGTACTCAGAGGATGCCAGGTCCTGCTCTAATCTGAGCCCAAGAGGCAAAATAAGGAGTGACAAGTTCTGACAGAGCTTAGTCTTCTTCTTCTTCTTTTTTATTTTTTTTTTGAGACAGAGTCTCACTCTGTCGCCTGGGCTAGAGTGCTGTGGTGTCATCATAGCTCATAGCAACCTTAAAACTCCTGCGCTCAAGCAATCCTCCTGCCTCAGCCACCTGAGGAGCTGGGACTATAGGTGAGCACCATCACGCTCAGCTAATTTTTTCTATTTTTAGTAGAGACAGGGTCTTGCTCTTGCTCAGGTTGGTCTCAAACTGTTGACCTCAAGTGATCCTCCTGCCTTGGTCTTGCAGAGTGCTAGGATTACATGGCAGCTACTGCGCTCAGCAGAGAGCTTACATTCTAATGGGAGGCACACATAAGTGCTTTGTAAACAGAGGAAGCCTCAACTTACGGTTTTACTCCTAAAATGTGTGAACCACTTAGTTGTTTATATATATGTGTATATATATATATGTTTATGCTGAAAAAAATTAATTCACTAATAATATGATCTTCAGGGCCTCAGAAAGACTATAAGGTCCTTGCATCTGAAGTATAACAGTGATAGCATATGGTATGATCACATTTCTACAGGAAAACAAACCCAGTTTTTTTCCAGGCAAATATTTGTTTCATCCACTTGACAAATAATTATTGAGTTTACCAGGTGCCGAACATTGTGCTGTGATTGTGAGGTGGGGAAAAGAGGCAAGGACAACTGGTGGTAAGGGCTCCCCAGGACAGAGCTGCAGGGCGCCACGGGTACCCAGAAAGAGGATGCTAAGAGGGGAGGGCTGAGGTGAGCTGGCTGGAGAGCATAGCCACTCTGAGAGCTGCAAGTACTTCAGCAGGGCTGGGTCAGAGGTGTGGTAGGAGGAGGGGTGATGAAGGGAAGAGAGAAGCACTGGCCAGACTGCAGAGTGTCTGAGACACATTAAGGGATCTGGACTTTATCCACAGGGCAATGGGGACACATTCAGGGAATGAGCCATTACGCTTTATATTTTAGGATGTGCACTTTGGTGGCCATAAAAAGACTGATTAGATACCCTGGTATCTGGGTACTGGGTGGTGGTGTGTTGCTTGGGCAGACAAGCCCAGGAAAAGCCCCTAGGTTGAGAGAGAGGGGAGAAGCTGAGGTCAGTTGTGAATACATCTAAGGTCTCCTTGGGACATTTGGAACTCAGAGGTACTGATTTGAAAGTTATTAAAACACAAAAATGGTAATACAAGTCAAGGGGGTAATGGCATTCCCTCAGGAGACTGCAGGGACAAAGCCTTAGTGTCCTACTGACCACCAACAGGCGGGGGTCTGGAGAAGCACTGCCCGCTGCCTCTGCTTCTTTCTAGCTGTGTAACCTGCGTCTCAGCTCCTCTGTAAACTAGGCAGGGCCGGTGGGAGGCTGAAATGAACGGAACCCAGCATATAGGAAGTGCCTGTTTAATGTCAGCGCTCACAGTGACAACCGTAGAAAGCAAGTTCCTCCCAGGCAGGGGCTGACTTTCTCACCTATTCTCTCATCCTTGCTTCCTTTCTCCTGGGCTTGCCTGCCCACGCAATGGCACCACCAGCCAGTACCACAGAGCCAGTGAGTACACAGAAGAGGCTCAACGACGCTCTCCCCCAAAGATCTCCCAGAGGGGAAAGGTTAGCTTGAGGAGAGAGGGAGCTTACTGGCAGCACACCCTTAAGGTGTGGGCATAGGGGACCCTCGTCAAGGAGGGACTCACATGAGACAGCAGGGAGAGGTGGCTAACTAACACCAATGAGGATGCAGGGAAATCTGCACTTAAGGGAAAGTTAAGAGAATGCCATTTTGTATTTTCTCACTGGTGTGAGGATGGTGTTGTCTGCTAGGTGAGAGGCAACAGGGCAGGTCTGGGGAGAATGCAGTCAGTGCAAAATAACTGTTGCGGAGGAAGAGGCAGAAGACACCGCCCAATGTAAAAAAATCATAGCTTCATACCAAGCCATTTTGTCTTCAAAAATATTCAACTAAAGAAATTCTATTAATATTAAAAAGCTAACGTAATATGTCTTGGCAAATTAATATGACAAGAGGCCTTTGTTTAAGTGAGGAAATTCTCAAATGGCAAATTTGGGCCCCCACTAATCATGCCATAGTAAGACTCATAAGACTATCTTGTCATAACACTCTCTAGCACTTTAAAGGATTTTCCGGATTCAGAATCTCACTTCGAATAGAAGGCAGCGTCAACACCTAATTATAAACTATAGATATAAAAAAAAGATACTAAAGATTTTATATGGTTTAATTTCCTCATATTTTCACTTCTGAAAAAATTAGTGTAGGGTCTGAAATCAAAGATGCCTAGGTTCAATTCTCAGCTGTTAACTGGGAAATTTACATAATCTTTCTATTTATTTCTTCATCTGAAAAATGGGGACAATTGTGGCAATTATCTAGAGCTGTTGTGAAAATTAAATTCTTGATATAATATATGGTGCCCAACATGCATTCAATAAATTGAAGTTCACTATTATTATCACGTAACACCATATAGTCTCTTTTTTTTTTTTGTTTGAGACAGAGTCTTGCTCTGTTTCCCGGACTAGAGTGCTGTGGCATCAGCCTAGCTCACAGCAACCTCAAACTCTTGGGCTCAAGCGATCCTCCTGCCTCAGCCTACCGAGTAGCTGGGACTACAGGCATGCGCCACCATGCCCGGCTAATTTTTTCTATGTATTTTTAGTTGTCCAGCTAATTTCTTTCTATTTTTAGTAGAGACGGGGTCTTGCTCTTGCTCAGGCTGGTCTTGAACTCCTGAGCTCAAGCAATCCTCCTGCCTCGGCCTCCCAGACATAGAGTCTTTTTTTTTTTTGAGACAGAGTCTTGCTTTTGTTGCCCGGGCTAGAGTGAGTGCCGTGGCATCAGCCTGGCTCACAGCAACCTCAAACTCCTGGGCTCAAGCAATCCTTCTGCCTCAGCCTCCCGAGTAGCTGGGACTACAGGCATGCACCACCATGCCCGGCTAATTTTTTCTATATATTTTTAGTTGTCCAACTAATTTCTTTCTATTTTTAGTAGAGACGGGGTCTCGCTCTTGCTCAGGCTGGTTTCGAACTCCTGAGCTCAAACAATCCGCCCGCCTCGGCCTCCCAGAGTGCTAGGATTACAGGTGTGAGCCACTGCGCCCGGCCGACATAGAGTCTTAATAGCAATCATGATAAATCTGTCTGGATACTTTTTAATAAGCACCAAATAATGTGCTGGGATATTAAAACTATATCAAATCCTTCTGGAATATCATATCCCCATAATGCAAAGCAATAACCACCACAAGAACACCCGATGGGATAACCAAGGCTATGCTATTATGAACCACTCTGTCATTCCCCAAAGCAAGGAATCATCGAGGACACATTTGTTGAAAACTCCCTGGTAACATTTCAAACCCACTCAACCTAAGTCAAAACAGACAACAAATTCTCCCTTGGGACAGACTTCTCTGTGCAGGCCACGTAACCGTACTCAAGTGCAAGGGTTCCACTTCCCATGCTCAACATTGTGACTTACTCACTTTTGGATTCCTGGCATCGTTAAATGTCTATTGACAGAACAGAGATACTCCATCCCCCTCATTTAAAAAATGTGCTAAAATATACACAAAATTTACCATTTTCACCATATTTAAGTGTAAAATTCAGTGGAATTCAGTACATTCATGATGTGTAACCATCACTACTATCTATTTATAGAACTTTTTCATCATCCCAAATAGAAACTCTGTAACCATTAAATAACTCTCCATCTCCCTTCCCTTCCCCCAAAGTCCCTGTTAACCTCTGTTTTACTTTCTGTTTTTATGAATTTGTCAATTTGCCTATTCTAGTTACCTCATACAAGTGAATCATACAACATTTATCTTTTTGTGACTGGCTTATTTCACTTAGCATAATGCTTTCAAGGTTCATCCATGTTGTAGCATGTACCAGAATTTTATTCCTGTTACGGCTGAATAATATTCCATCATATGTATATATATCTTTATCCATTCATCTATTGATGGACACTTGGGTCCTAGAGTTGTTTCCACCTTTTGGCTAGTGCAAATAGTGCTGCTATGAATATTCTTGTAAAAGTACCTGTCTGAATCCCTGCTTGCAATATTTTTGGGTATAGACCCAGGAGTGGAATTGTTGGGTCATATGGCAATTCTGTTTAACTTTTACAGCTCACTGCAGCCTTGATCTCCTGGGCTCAAGTGATCCTCTCACCTCGGCCTCCTGAGTAGCAAGGACTACAGGCACGTGCCACCATGATCAGCTAATTTTTA